GGGAGTAAAGAATGAGCGGGACAGTAAAGAATGAGAGAAGTAGAGTATTAGAGTAGCCATAAAAATAATAATAATAAAGCATGTAATGAGAAGATTTTGAATTTATTATGGCCTATGACTCCGTAATCCGCCGACGCCGCATACGCTTTCGGAAAAACCCTGGAATAAGTGTGCTGGGGCTGGCGCCCGGCAGGCTCAGTACTTCTCTCTTTTCATCCCATGACAGTCTCAGCTCCCTTGTACAGATGAGGAAACATAGGCTCAGAGAACTTAAGTCACCTGTTCTGAGTCACATAGCCAGTAAGTCATTAAGGTTACGCATCATCTGAAAAGGCTTGGCCCTCTTTAATGCTAATAGGTAAGGAAGGGAATTCTCAGCTATTCCAGGGACGAGGAACTGGAAAAATGAAAGCCTACACTTTGGAAACCAGACTCTAAAAGCTGTGTGACCTAAGGCAAGTTACTTAAACTCTCTGAGCCTCCATTTCCTCATTTGCAAAATGGGTATAATAATAGTAACTAACACTGGACCAGGCTGCTGTGAGGATGGAGTGGGAGGTGGCTATGATCTGGAGTGTGGTAGTCTTGTGCTTGGGTCAAAGGGTTGGTCTGGCTGGAGAGTGGTGTTCTCTAGCCTCTGGGATCAGCAGTCCTGGGGCAGGAGTCGTAGAGGAGTCAGCTGCCAGGCCGAGCCCTGGACCTGCCACAGCCTTGCACCACTAGAAAGGTCTGGGATGCTGAGAGCCGTGTGCCCAGCTACTGTAAGTGGGCAGCAGTGAGGCAGCAGATGCTAGAAGGGCATTCTTCTCTGGCCTGCTATACGGCTCCCCACGGGGCCACATTCCTGACCCTCAGGCCCACGCTGGTTCCCTGTCCCACCCAAAGGCTCATACTAGTACCTCAGGAGCGGGCGAGCTTGGGGCTACAGCTGGCTCCACCCCACCACCCTGGCTCCACTGGGACTCACCTTGCAGTTACAGCCTAGATGGTACCGATAGTTCAGGCCCTTGCGCTGGGAGAGTGTGAGCTGGTCCCACCTCTCTACGAAGTTGCAAAGCCCGGTATACAGCTTGCTGTCATAGACACGGCCTAATGGAGGAAAGAGCTGTTGTGAACAGAGTCCCGTCACAAGAAAATGAGTCACACCAATTGAGTACCCACGTTCAGCCAGGTCCTGTGCTAGGGACCCACAATTCTTCATCCCTGGCCCCCAGGAACCTTAAGATAGACTGCATCTCCATTTTTTAGATGAGGAAAATGCAGGTTACAGAGATAAAGACTCAAATCCAGTAAGTACTGGAGCTAGGCCTAGAATTCAACCTCCACGTGTCCCATCAAGACTTATTAGTGGTTTTTTTATTTTGGTTGTTGTTTTGTTTTGTTTTACTGTTGCCCTAAAAGGAGAACGTGTGAAAGGATAGGCCTAATAGGTTGACTTAAGGAACACTGGTGGTGCTGTGGGTAAAGCGCTAAGCCACTAACTGCAGGGTCTGAGATTCAAACCCATCAGCCTCTCTGCAGGAGAAAGATGAAGCTGTTGCTCCCATAAAGGTTTGTTCTTGGAAATGCTATGTAGGATTGCTATGAGTCAAAATCCATTCAATGGCAGTGGGCTCTGGGTTCATAGGTTGCTTGGGAGGTAGAGAGGAACAAATATTGACAATCCCTCTTTTGTTTATAATAACGCTGAAACTACAAATTAAAGAGATTCCCCACAGGGCCAGAGGTGGGGCTGAGATGATGATGATGATTAATATAATTTCACTCCTCGGAAACCCTGTACAGGGTTGCTATGGGTCAGATCCGACTCGACGGCACTTAACAACATATATTATATACAGATATATTATTATATTATTATTGTTAGAGCCTTAAGTTCCGGCCACAAGAGAAGCAAGATAGATCAGTATCAGGTACACTTCACAACCTATTGGCAAGTGGCTCAAGTCCTTGTTTTCATCCTTCCCAGGCGGAGGAATAAGGGGCCTGGGCCAACATTGGCTTAGAGGCTAGCGTTGGCCGTTACCTGTCAGCAGGTACTGGTACTTGTTAACTTCCAGTTTCAGGCCACAGAGACTCTCGGAAGCTTCTGTGTAGATGTACTGCACGTGGGGCATCTTGGTGAAGCCTCGATACATCTGTGGGTAGAAGGAACGGCATGAGAGGAGGACCAGGGCCCTGAAAGCATGTGGTCACCAGTCTCATGGAATGTGGCTCCCCGCACCGGTCAGTACGCAGCCAGTCACTGACCTACCCATCACCGCAGATGAAGCCACCCTTCCCAGAGGAACCATCCCATCCAGCCCATTGTTTGCGTATCCCAGCCCCTCCACCATACTCTTCCAGATACATACTTGTCTCAAATCCCAACCCCATTTCAGAAACCCAAAGAAGTTTCTATGAAGGGATCTTGTTGACTTCAGGGTTTTGCTGCCAGTGGACGGTCAGCATGCCCCTCAGTGACATTTTCCAGGACATAAAAGCATTTACTCAGGAACCCTGAGCGCTAGGGGGTCATATCTCCATTCCACAGACTAGCAGACTAACAAATTTCTGTGTGGCTGCAGAAAGTGCACTGAGGCCACTGAGCCATCTGTCTTTATTCTTCTGAGCATCTGATGAAAGCACACAAAATGCACATGAAATTCACAGACTGGTTCAACATTAAACTGAACCACATGAAATGGATGATCTGGGGCCATTTTTATCGACAAAATCATGAATTTCATAATCTAACCGGGTGGTTTCTCAACCAGAGGCAATTCTGCTGCCCAGGAGACATGGGACAAAATCTGGAGACATTTTCGGTTGTCACAAGGGGCGAGTACCACTGGCATCTAGGGGGAGGGAGCCGAGGATGCTGCTCAGCATTCTGCATTGCACACAGCAGCCCCCACAACAAAGATTAGCTGTCAGCAGTGCCAAGGCTGCGCCACTGTGCTCTCGAATGAGCCCACTTAAGAAGTAGCAGCCCTGTGAGAGAACTGTTCTTCCCATTTTATAGACTTGGCAGGTTAAGTGGCTTATCTAAGGCACACAGTACGTAAATGGCAGATGCTAAGATTTAAGTGGGGACATCTGGCTTCAGAGTCCATGCTTGTGCCCGGTATCCTATGATGTCTCCCACCAGGCCTCAGACATCCATGCCTGAGGCCTCTGCAGCAGACATATGTCACATCAATGAATAGTTTGGTGCTTTCAGTGTCAGCGCGTGCTCAGAGCTACTGCGGGGAGTACTAGGGAGGCTCAGCCCACACGGGATCCCAGGCCAAGGGCAGGAGCACGCACAAGCAGGGAGCTGTTGAGACAATTCTGCTAACCGTTTGAGCCAGCGGGGTGGGATGGGGCACCAAGGTGTTGCCCAACCCCATCAGTTCTCAGTGTTCATAGGCCCTGGACCGCCGGTGGTCTCTGGCCTTGTCCTCAGTGTTTATAATAGGACAATGTCTCCACTTTAGTTCTTGGCATACGTTATTAATTGACGTATGGTAATTAATAAGAGTCAGACATCACCTCATTGGTGTCTCATCTAAATGCCTCCCATTCAGTCTGATGGTTTAGGTTCTGTTTGTTTTTTCCTTTTCTTTTGCCTCCTCATCTTCTTTTAAACGGAAACGGGAGCTGGCTGGCAGGAGTAAGTGGTCCATGAGGACCCTTCCCATCATGAAGCAGTTTCTTGGCCCTGCAGGGTTTGGGGGCTTCTGTCTTATGTGAGAAGAATGCTGCTCTCACTGACTGGCTTGCAGGTGGTCTCCCTTCTTGACCCCTTTTCTCCCCCTGAGGCTTGCCAGCTAACAACACAAGGCAGCCAAACCATAGGGGAAGAACTCCCCACACCTGGCTTTCAATTATTCTGCAGGGGAATGGAGGTGTGACCCGTCATAGCCCTTACCTCCATCCACAATGATGGAAGGCACCTCTCAGCCACTAACAGGAGCCATATTTCACAGGGCTGCTGTGTGCCATCGAGTGTGGCCTTTGAACAACATCCCTGCACACACTCACAGCTCATTCGGGTGTGGATTTCCCTGGAGTGTTTGGCAAATGTCTCCACTAAGTACTCGCTTGAGCCTGATCTACCGGCACCAAGTTTTCAGGGTTTGTGGCGACTTCATTATTTCCCCTGTATCTTCCCTCTGCTTTAAGATGAGACTCAAACCCTGGTTCAAGTAGAGGAACTTGAACTGGTAAGAAGAACTCCACTCATCAGAATCACTGCTATTTCTGAATTTAAAGAAACTTTTCTTTTAATTGCTTCTGGTACTTTTGCATTGAATCAAAACTTGAAAATAGAAAAGACAGCTGTAACCACCACAGTGTCAATTCTGAAAATAACACAATAAGGTATAATACAGGTCCAGGTCCCTTGGTGGCACTAAAGGCATGAACTCAGCTACGAATAAAAAGGTTAGCAGTTTGTATCCACCCAGCAGCATCACAGAAGAAAGGCCTGGCAACCTATGTCCATAGACCATACCCATTGAGAATCCCAGGGTGTAAAGCTGTGCTCTGACACACTGAAGCTCTTTCTTGCATGCCTACCCAATGTCAGCTCTCTGCAGGATGCTGCTGTCCAAACATCACAAACTCATTGAGACCCCCTACAATTTCCTTCTCATTTACAAACTGAGGTTCTGAGGAACATGTGGTATTTGGCTGAGATGTAAACTGCATGGTCTTTCACTTGCAGAATGAGCTAATGGAAAGGAGCTCCTAAGAGCTGAGAGCATGAAGAGGCAGGGGGAGTTGAAGGAGGGGAGAGAGTTCCCAGTGGGTTGGGGAGGATCCCCAAGAATGCCAGGCTGCAGTTTTAAAGATAAGACGAAAATGCTACTACTGATCATTTGATTCAACAAGCTCCTGAAGGAAGGAAGTCACTCCAGGCCATTGTATACATGCAGAGCACGTGACCATCGGGTCTCCCCACGGGACCATCCAGGGATTGACTAGGACATAATGTCCCCACATGCTGTCCCCTTTACAGCACCAACAACAGGTCCCCATGAAGTGGACCACTTTCTAACAGTCCCTGGAGACAAACCCTCCCTGCCACACAGCAGCCCTCTGCCCCAGCTCTTACTCAGTTTGGGGTAGGCTGTCAGCAACCTGAAAATTCCAGCCCCGGGGGTCCCCTCACACACATACCTGTGGTCTTTGCAAACCCCAAATGCCTGAGATGTGGATCTGATGCTCAGGAACCAGCAGGTGGGAAAGGGTCTGCCTACCTTTCATCAGGGCAGCCAGTTTGGGGGTCAGGTAGAGGGCAGGCCAGGAGAGCAGAGCCAGACAGACTGGTAATTCTCACGTTCTTGGGTCCGTTAGCCCTGCTTTAAGGGAGCTTGTGCTTACCCCGTCTGAGTCTGGGGTAGACTCTGTAATCCCCTAGAACAAAGCCACACTGGGACCAGTGCCAGAACTCCAGCCCGGCTCCCCTCTCTTTCTGCTTCCTTCTTCCCATCCCCTCCTCCCAAGAGTTTTCTGATACACCCTTTGTAGGATGCAGCAAGTTGAAAATAACATTACAGGATGACAAACTCAAGCTGTATTCTTTCTGTTCCAGGAGTGGGGAACTAGATGCAGATAAGGGAGTGTAGCCCCCAAAGTGGGCTGAAACAATAAATCCATTGTTCCTAGGCTGCTCTGCTTTCTCCTTATAGGCAGAGACCATGGGAGTTTGCTCCACATTGTAGCTTTCTAGCTTTCTAAGCTGTCCCAGGCTGTTACCTTGCCTGTAAAAGAGAGGATACCGTGGCATCTGTTTTACAGGGTTGTTGTGAGCGCTGTAGAGTGCCTGGCTCATGTCAAACGCTCAATGCATTTTACTGGTTAATCATTATGATGAACATTATAACAAATAGCATAGTGCTCCGCACAAACAAGGGGTTCAGGGAGGAGGGGAAGGAAAGCTAGGAGGCTGGGCAGATAGACTGCTCCAACTGTAACACCAGCCCCATCTCTGATTTGTAGACCAGAATATAGAGAATAGGGGTCTCTGGGCTGCACTATCAGTTCAGTGTTCAACAACTAACCAAAAAGTTGGTGGTTCAAACCTACCCATAATTGCCATGGAAGAAAGACCTGGTGATCGCTGCCCAGGAGACCCTATGGAGTGTACAGTTCTACTCTGCACACATGAGGTCACCAGGAGTTGGAATCCACCCAATAGTGGCTGGCCTGGTTTCTACAGGGAGATCAACAGACTCCAGTGGCCTCTGGGGGTAGAAAGACTTGTACCAATTCCATGATTCATCTAGTGCTGGGATGGCAGGGGGAGCAGAGAGGATGCTGGGATGGCGGGGGGAGAAGAGAGGATGCTGGGATGGCAGGGGGAGAAGAGAGGATGCTGGGATGGCAGGGGGAGCAGACTGGGTGCTGGGATGGCAGGGGGAGCAGAGTGGGTCAAAGGACTGGGCTAGTGATGGATGACTAAAGTAAGATGATGGGAGATCTGGGAGTCATGGTGAGAGCACAGAATGGGAGTGTAATTCTGGTGCCTCCACTCAGGAACCAGATCAGCCACTGATTGTTCATGTGACTGAGGCAGTCATTTCCCCAGTCACAAGTCCAGCGATGGGCACTGAAATCGCACCCAACGCCTATGGCCACAACTCTATGAGTCTAAGTGAAGTATAAAACCACCCTTCTGGGAAATGTGGGTAAATTGCTACAATTTGATGAACTTGACCTATACTTATGGATGTGGTTGCTCAAAACACCAACAGAGAGGGAAGGAGTCTTCACATCAAGTATCAATCCCATCCCTCTGCATATTGGGTAGATAAGGACTGGCAATTTAGACATTGGCTACCTAAAATGAGGGGACAATAAAGGCACAAAGTGACTGGCTTACAAGTTTTCAAGAAGGACTTTAGTTTAAGAGTGTGCAGGGGAAGGTGGAGTCCCCACTGAATAGTTTTCATCTTGTCCACTTGGGTCTGGTGAAAAGAGATAGGGTATAAGTCTTATGATTCAATAGTGAGTGAATGCTATCATGACTAATTACGACTGTCACAACTGTGAAGGTAGAAGTTTTGTAACATGTAGTTGATGTTACAGTCCAGGAACAGAGGACCTTAGGGACCATCAAGGGAGAAGAGCACAAACACATTGTGGGACCCTATCCAGAGAATCAGCAATATCAGAGATGGAGGCAGAGATGAGGACATGGAGAGAGGGAGCAGCTGAAGAGTCTGGACTCATAGAAAGAGAGGGACTGGGTGCTGGTGGCTAGGAGGCAAGCTTGCAGAACATGCCCTTTGGTTGTTTAAATTATTATACATTCCAGACTGTCTTTGTGTGCATTCCCTCCATTCCTACCCTCAACCCCCCCTCAAAAAAAGCCCAGAAGGAATGGAAGCAAATACTGTTGAATGATGATGCACAGAGGAGATAGTAATCATTGCAATGAAATGATGGTATAAAGCCGATATTCTCTCATGTAAACTATCACTCAGTTCACAATAAAAATTAAAACAAGACAACAACAATGACATAAAAACCACCCTTCTGGGATGAGTGTGTACTTGGAAGCTGGCAGATGAAGAGCTATCGTCTGGCCTCTAAACAACTCCAGTGGCTGGTCTGACACATTGTGCCCACATGAAGGGCATCTGGTCTTCTGGTTTCCAGCAGGCCTTGAATGCAAGAGAGAAGCTGAAAAGTTTAGGCACCATTGAGTCCTGGTGTGGTGCTGTAGGCTAACATGTCAGACTGCAAAGTTGTTTGAACTGCAAAGTCAGTGGTTCAGCTCAGCAGCTGCTCCTTGGAAACCCTATACTGGGTCGCTATGGGTCGGAATCAACTCGACAGCACTTAACAATAACCTCCCCTCGCAGCTCGCTGCTGCTCCTCAGCGCCTCTTAGCCAGGCCTGTTCCAGAGCAGGCAGGTGGGTGTGTTCCTGAGCCTCTGCTTTTGTCTAATATGCTTAGACGTTCTCTTGCCAGCTGCCAGAGGCTGCAAAGTAGGGTTTTTTTGTTGGTTGTTGCTCTTGTTGGCTCTCCTCACCTCCACCCACTCTACTCTCCCCACCGCTGTCTGAAGACATAAGCTGGTCCCATGACCAGGCTGCGGCAGCCAAGGGCACCTGGCCAGGGCTGACTCTGGACATTACATAACCAGAAGGCTGTAGATGTTTCCAAAATTGAATCCAAAGCAACAGGTCCCACAAAACCGGTACATCTAACCTCAGGCCTCAGCAGACAGAAATTGGCCCCTGGGATGACTAGGTACCACTCATTGACTTTTGCTCCCAGACTCCATTCCCCCTGGGCATCCAAACTGTGCCCTCGGGAAAGTTCAGGCCAGTAGGTTTCACCCTCAGTCCCCATTGGATGAGTAAACTTTTCTTGATTACCTCTTGCAGAATCCTGCAGTGCTGTAAAGAGGCAACACACTCAACTGCTAACCCAAAGATTGGAGGTTCAAGTCCACCCAGAAGCTCATCAAAAGAAAAGGCCTGGCTATCCGTGTCCTAAAAGTCAGTTATTGAGATCTTGCTGTGGAGCATGTTCTCCTCAGACACACTTGGGGTCGCCATGAGTTACAGCCAACTCTAGGAGAACCAGTTATGTCTTCTAGCATTGGTCGGTGCTACCCTAATGGCTTGGGATATGCAAATAAGACCCTTATATAAAAGGGCTGGCCTTGCACTTGGACCCGAGCACACCCACCCTGAACTGTCCATTAGTCAGGTCATTTTCTGTTGTCCTGAAAGCAGAGGCACTGTTGTCTACCTGTGGCCCCGTGGCCCTTGGCTTGTAGGAAGGTGCTTACCATGGTGGGTTGGATGGACCAGTTGCTGAGCTTTAAAGTGAGGCAAATAGGAAGCCCACCCTCTGGCACCCACCAGGGGCTCCTGTTTAACAGTAACGCTAACCACGTCTTGAAATGCCAGAGTCAAAGGGGCTCTTAGGCGCACAGAGCCCAACCTCACACTGTACCAGATAGAGACACGGAGGTCAAAGCAAAGGGGATGATTCCAAGCTAACCAAGCTCTGTGATTTGTGGTTGGAGCTGAGGCCATGAAGCAGCCTCTCTGGGTTTGGAATCTGATATTCTTTTCCTTTAGGCAGGCTTCCTTAATGTGCTTGAGAATACTATGCTCCATACCATGAGTGTGTCTAGTCAGCCTTGACAACTAGCTGGCATGCAGGAAGACAAAGCTGGGCACACGGAATGAGCGTGTAGTCTCCCTAGCTTGGAATGAGGTCTCCTGTCCTCAGAATGAGCACATGTTCAATGTAAAGACTTAGGGGGCAGAAACCTAAATTGTCGCCTTGGCAACTGTGCATGTGTCCTGTCCTCATAGTTGAAGGTCAGAGCTGCTCCTAAAGACAATCTAGTCCAACCTTCACCTTTTACAGAAGAAGTTTCATAGTTCCCACTGAAAGTCTCTACTGCCTGTTTCCAGAGCTCAGCCTTTAATAAACTACCTGGGAGCCGTTCCACCTGTGCTGCATCTGGGATGAAGTAGCAACCCTCCTCTTCCCCTCACCACTCATCCCTTCCGGTGGTCTTAGTAGAGTAGGAGGGAGAGCTGGAACTTAGACACTGAGGAAACACAGCCCACATCCATCCCGCCGTGCCCATCTTGGCCAGGACTCCTCTAGCCAAAACCCAGAAACCTTCCAAGAGCCAAGCTGACGTCACTCACCTTCATCTGCTTGATGGTGTAGACCAACGTGCCAAAGGGCCCATCTTTCACCAGCTTCTTCCCCACCACCTTGGCCCGGATCACTGCAGAAAGAGACCAGACAGGAGTTACAGAGGGCTGAACCACAGGGCCGGCATCTCAGGGCAGGCAGGCTAGCTAGCCCCCAGGGTTCCTGGAATTGCATTCTGACCTGGGAGCCAAGTGGAACACCTAAGTGCAAGGATTCTGATGGGGGAGACAGGGAGCAGGAAGCAGCCACGCTTAAGCTCCTTAGCTCAATATTCATATCTGCCTGCTCTGGAAACTCCAAGGTTACACTCACTCCCAAAGCGATTTCTCCCATCAGACCTGCTTGGCCTCCCGCCATTGCCCACCTACAGTTGTATGATGACCAAGACCTATATTCCTCTTAGGACTCCTTCCTGACTCTCCTGGCATGGGAGGCCTTTCACTTGTACAAATTCCCTCCATCAGACATTGCCATAGGCTACTGATGCACCCCAGCTTCCCTGAGGCCCCTCGTTGGACTCTGACCCTCAGATCAGGCTCTGACCCTCAAGTACCCAGCACTTAGATGACTAGGGTTCAGTTCAGTGAGGTGGGTGGGAGAGGTTGAGAGGAGGTCTTAGAAACCAGCATGAACAGTTCCAATCTCAGTTGTGTTTAGGGCTATTAGGACTGTTGGCAAGCAACTTTGTTACTAGCCTCTATTTCCTCTCTCTAACACAGGGGTAATAATAGTAGCAGACTCCGGAAGTGAAGGATTCAGACAAGATACTGCATGTTAAAACATTAACACCGAGTCCAGGACATCATTCATAGCCAAAAAATAGCATCATCGTCATCTTCAGTGCCAAAACCTGGGAAGATCCTTGCAATAAATAGACCAAGAAAAAACCCAAGCCCACTGCCATTGTGACAGTTCTGACTCATAGTGACCCTGCACTGGGTTTCCGAAGCTCTAAATCTTTATGGGAACAGAAAGCTTCCTCTTTTGCCCATGGAGCAGCAGGTGGGTTTGAACTGCTGACCTTATGGTTAGCAGTCCAGTGCTTATCCTACAGCACCTTGAAATAAAACAAGCTCCGACACCTGTTGCATGCCACTGAGTTGATTTTGACTTATAGTGACCAGTGAGACTGAGTGTAACTAACTGACCCATAAGGTTGTTTTCTAAACTGTAATCTTTATAAATTACATAAAAATTACATTTTAGAAAACTGGGGTGATGCTGTGGGCTAATGTGCTGGACCACAAGGTCAGTTTGAACCACAAGGTCGGCAGTTCAAACTCACCAGTCACTCCGGAAACCCTACACAGGGTCGCTAATGGGTCAGAACTGACTCGATGGCACTTAACAACAACAATCTTTACGGAAGCAGACCACCCGGTCTTCCTTCCATGGACTCACTGGGTGAGTTTGAACCTCTAACCTTTCAGTTAGCACTGGACCACTGAGCCACCAGGGATCTTTACTACACACCTACTTTGTGTCATTTACTCCTCACAGCCCCCTTTTGTTGTGAACTGCCGTGAAGTCAGTTCTGACTCACAGCGACCCTGTACAGGGTTTCCAAGGAACTGCCGACCTTGTGGTTAGTAGTCCAGTGCTTATCCAAGTATGTTATATACATCAGGGCATTTACAGAAGAAGCCAGCCCCTTCACTCAGCACTTCAATTTTCTCATCTGTAAAGAGGGTTTAATGATATTTAATCCGCGTTCAAGACGAAATGCTATTAAATATTAGTTCACTATGAATGGGACTCCTGATATGGCCCTGTAGGATCAGCAGAGGACTGCTAACCACAAGGACAGCAGTTCAAACCCACCAGTCACTCATCAGAAACCCTATACAGGGTCACTGTGAGTCGGCACCAACTCGCCATCACCTAGTAGCGACACATGAATACAAAACACCTGCACAGATCCAATGTCACAAGAACTGGAGGAGAGGTATTTACTACGTGATGTGGGGACACAGAGAATAAAGGAATTGAGATTGTCGCTGTTGTTGTTGTTAGGTGCTGATGAGTCCGTCTTGATTCATAGAGACCCTAGGCCTAACAGAACAAAACACTGCCTGATCCTGGACCAACCTCACAATCATTACATTTGAGCCCACTGTGCTGCTGCCACTGTGCCACTCCATCTCATTGGGGGGTCTTCCTCTTTTTAGCAGACCCTCTACTTTATCCAGCATGATATTTTTTTCCAGGGACGGGTCTCGCCTGATAACATGTCTAATGTATGAGAGACAAAGTCATGCCACCCTCGCTTCTAAGGAACATTCCTGGTTATCCTTCCAACGCAGATGTGTTTGCTTTTCTGTAATCTATGGTACTTTTATACTATTCTCCTCCAACACCGTAACTCAGATGCATCAATTCTTCTATGGCTGAGATTGAAGAGGCTGTGTTTTTTCTTTCTACTAATATGAAGAAACACCTAAGAGTTATATTCAAATATTTGTAAAAGTGGCGCACATGGAGTAGCCAAGCATCTTGAAAACAATGAAAACAAATTACAGAGAAGTAATATTCACTGAGGGAGCCCTGGTGTGGCGCTGTAGGATAGGCACTGAACTGCTAACCTCAAGGTCAGCAGTTCAAACCCACTAGTCACTCCTCGGAAACCCTACACAGGGCTGCTATAAGTCAGAACCAACTTGATAGCACTTAACAACAACAACGTTTACTGACTGAGTGATGAAGATGGCATCTTGTAATCAGACTAAGAATAAACAGGGGGCTGTCTGGGGCCTGATGACCAAAAGGTTGGATGTTTGAGACCACTCAGGTTTGGAAGAAAGGCCTAGAGATCTTCTTCAGAAAAATCAACCCTTCAAAACCCTGTGGATCACAGTTCTACTCTGACACACATGGGGTGGTCACTGGCTTGACAGGCAACTGCTAGCCTCTTTTTCCCCAAGTTTTTATTGTGAACTGAGTGATAGTTTACATGAGAAAACATTGGCTTTACACCATCATTTCATTGCAATGATTACAATCTCCTCTGTACATAATCGTTCAACAGTATTTGCTTCCATTCCCTCTGGGTTGTTTTGTTTTGTTTTGTTGGGGGGAATGTACACAAAAACACTCTGGAATATATAATAATTTAAACAACAAAGGGCACATTCTGAAAGCCTGCCTCCTGGCCACCAGCACCCAGTCCCTCTCTTTCCATGAGTCCAGAGTCCTCAGCTGCTCACTTTCTCCATGTCCCCATCTCTGCCTCCATTTCTGGTGTCACTGCTTCTCTGGATAGGGTCCCGCATTCCACTTGTGCTTTTCTCACTTGATGGTTCTAGGGGCTTCTGTTTTGCCAATCTCTCTCTCTCTCTCTCTCTCTCTCTTTTAAAATTTAATTACTAAGAACCAGTTCCTTGTCACTACAGGATTGTGTCAGAGTCCTCCCCAAATCAGCTTGGATCCTTCCCTCCCAGTCAGACATGAAGTCAGGATACAGACCAATCAACGACCCCTCCAGACATTTCCTAACAGCCATGGCAACACAAAAGCCCATTGGCAAAGTCTGCTGGGACAGCTCATACTGGGAGGAGGCATGGGGCCGTCTCCAAGTCTGCAGTAAAAGTGAGAGGTTGGCGTGATCCCAGGTCAACCTCCTTCAGAATTCTGCGTCCATCTCTGCATCGAACCTTGGAACAGTATCTCGGCAGGGTGCCATAAGTCCTAGGGGCCCCAGAAATGGTTTCCTCTCTATTAACTCCCCTGGGCAGGTTGTAACGTCATAACTGTGGAGTGGAATGCTATCTGCCAGGATTTTATATTGATTCTTCCTGAGTCGACTTGGACCTGCCTTCTCTCTCATTAACAGAGAAGGTGAATGAGGGAGCAAGGCTTGGCCTTGGAGCAGATGGCGAGGAAACAGAAGGGGTTCCTTTAAATAGCAGCATGTCTACCCTTTCCTGGCCTCAAAGTGGCTTGCCTAGATTTAGATGTAACATGTCAGAAGCAAACCTGTGCCATATAAAGCCGGGCACTTCTGGGTGCTTCTGTGCACACAGCCAGTCAATTAATTCCTTACCCTGACATGCCCTGAGTTTGGACCATTTTCTTATGAGGATAGTTCGGTGAAAAGAGTACGAGTTTTTTTTTGTTTTGTTTTTTTGTAGCCAGAAGGTCAGATTTGAATTCCAGTTCCATTACTGAGTGGCCTCAGGCAAACTCCTCGGGGTTCTTCCCTCCTAAACCTCCCTGGTTATTTTAGTCCAAGACCTCTTCCAATAAAAATACTCACACCTGTGATGGACTTATTATGAGTAGAGCAACAAGCTAGCAAGACACAGAAGCCCAACTGCAGATGTTGGAACTCAGCTCTGATACTCTGTAACCTAAGGAAAGTTACTACACCTCTCTGTACTTTCATTGCCTAATCTATAATGTGGCGATGACAATAACAATGCTCTTGTGAAGCTGTTGCTAAAGTTAAGTACAAAGAAAAGCACCTCAAACAATGCCTAAGCCATCCTGAGCCCTACATATTCACAGTCACTGGTACCAGAATTATCACCACGCCTGTGAATCCTACTGCCCTGTGACTGTCCATGTTGGCTTCTAACATTCACTTCAAACTAAACTGACAGATGGGGTTCTACCCTCGGATGAGAAGAAAGGAGAGTTTGTTGAACAATTCCTACCCTGTTGAGTTGAGGGAAAGATGGAGGTCTCAGAGGAATTGTTCAGACCAAATGCACACGGTCTGTTTGCCCCTAATCCATTAGTATCGCCTGCCCCATCTTCTCACCCACATGCAACCCAGGTGTAGCCTGCCCCATCTTCTCACCCACATGCAACCCAGGTGTAGCCTGCCCGGTCGACTCATAGCAGAGCCTGTGGTCACAACTCACAGAGATGACCAAGTACAGAGGTTACACGAGTGTTCGATTCTGAAAAAACAACACTGCACTAAACAGAGCTAAAATGAAACAGTACTCTGCTTTCCCACATAGATCTCCCAGAGTCAGTCCACAGTAAAATTGCTGGCCAGTCTCAAATCTGCCGATTTGGGTTTTGAATTAATAATTTATTTGCTTCCGTTTCTTCTCTGCAATTCTAATG